TATGATGTGATATAGTACTGAAAGTTGAGACCTTTCCCTGGCTCCCGATGATAAGAAGGGAGCTAGGAGGTAAAGTGAATTTGGGAGGGTTACGCCCCCCAAAATATATGTGGCACTACGTATTGGGTCCTCTTTTGATAGTATAACGCTCTCTCGTCAGAAGGGCACATGAGAAGGTCGTGTCTTGCAAGGCCCTTGTCTATCAAAAGCCTCAAAGCGCGTGTAAGGCACTATGCAACGGATTTTTCCGTTGGTGGTGCTTCTTCCTGTAGAATAGTAGAAGTTCTAACCTTGGGCCTAAGGCCTGAGACCTGATGTTAGTGCTTATATTGCAGGATTTTATCGTCGTGAACGCACGTTGATTTGATTTTTGTTGTTATGAATGCGTGTTGATCATACCTAATGCTCAAATACAGTAATTAAAACTACTCCAATTTGATTATAATGGATCCTAATATGAATCACTTGCATTTAGTTATGTATCATACCTATTTTATTTGTCCAATGAGGAATACATTAGATGTGTGAGATTAGAAATAAGTTTATTAATGATATGCATTAGAATAAAATCGATACTCTGAAATTCTGCTTCTATATATATAACTCCTCATGTTATTATAAGCTGTGAAATAGACTTTGTACAAGTCTGAAAGTTTGTGAATGGGGAAATTGTTTTGCAGCAATATAATATATAGCAAAAAAAAAAATTTAAAAAATTGTTTTGTTCCTTAATAATAAACTGTCACATCTCGGGAATTTTGGTGCTATAAACTTGGGATGTGACAACAACAACATTTAAACCCTCAACGACCAGCACGGTTATGGGTCGGTTGTGATGCCTTCACGGATCTGAGACTACCATGAATGATAATTTTCTCAAATAGTGAAAAAAATGGGTATGGATGAGGTTTAGAAAATTTTGGAGTTTGCTACTAATACTTTAAAAAAAAAGGTATATTTTTTCTATTTTTTTTTTATAATGTAACACAAACATAGTAATTATGGTTTCAAATAACGCATTCCACGTACCATAGATGACCATCTCATTTATACATATGCAAATATGTATATTTTTGCATAATTTAGCCGTAGGAATCAAACTTGAGACCAGCATTGCTAAAATTAATTGCTAATCACTCAAGCCCAAGCCCAATTCTTACATTACTCAGTGTTGCTTGACCCATGACACGAGTTCTCAATTATATTTAGGGGTCGTCTGGTTACTTAGAAATCTATTACATAACAATCGATTACGAGGAAATATGACATTTCTACCGTCTGGATACACTTTATAATAAAGAAATGGAGTGAGATTACTTGAGATTCTCCAAAAATCATTAAACACCGTGGTGAAAAGGTGAAGAATCTATTACACGGATGAGTATTCTTTAGAAATCTTTCACGTGCGTCTCTCTGCTAATTCGCCTACTTGGTTGGCGTACTCCTCTCTATCTAAGCCTATCCCCTCTCTCTTGAACCCTAATAACTGGTCTGCATCTCATTTGTACTTTTTTTTTTTTTAAGCCTCTTTTATCTTTAAGCCCTAACACAATTATTATAAAAAATTTTACCCAACATAAGAACTTACACAGCACAATTATAATAAAAAATTTCACCCAATATAATCCTCATAAGAGATTAGTAAATGCAAATAAGATACCTATTTAGTTTCCTCCAATGCCTCAAAATTTTCTACCGCAAGGACCAAACTTTCTAGTTTACTAATCAGACTTCTTCCCATTTTTTAACTTGTAGCATAAAGATTTAAATTTGGTATCATAAACTTATTGCTTATTTGAAATTATATAAATATAAATTTGAAAGACTTCTATAAAAAATAAATAAAAATAAAGCTTATCGCAATAACAACATGTTATTCTAACTATATTATTCCAATGACTTGTCATATTGAAATCAAAGTTTAATCGTATTAGAAAACATGTGATTCTATGTAAGTGTCAAAGGCATGCAAAATAAGTAATAAATTGTGTAATGATGACATTAGAATAGTACAAGTTATTATTAGAAATTTTTTTTCGGATAGTGATGATGTTATTATTAAAAAGTCTTTTTGGAATGATGTGATGATGACTTTTATTCCGTATTTCATGAAATTTTGTGACAAAAAAAAAAAATGATAGTTTATAGACAAGTGCCGGCAAAATGTTGGTAATGCATTTCCTATATTTCTTCCGGACATAACCAAACAGTAGCCATGTATTTCCCAGGTTGCATCTAAATACTACCTAAACAGTAAACATCCATTTACAGGTAATATATTACGCCAGTAATATATTTCACATATAATATATTTCCAGGTGTCCAAATGGCCCCTAAAGGATTTTACACTTAGGCACTTTAAGCATTACATGCCTGATAAAATCCATGCATTTTTTCGAAACCACATGCTTTTTTATGACCAGGATTTGAACCATTATTGACTCGGACTAGAATCGTGATGAAAGAGAGTGGGATTTTGTAAATTTTGATGATGCAATAAATTTGTTAACCATTCGTCCTAAAAGAGAGAGAGAGGGATTGATTCCAGAGGAAATAAATAGAGAGCAAAGCAACTATTAATGTTGTGATTTGTGAATTTCAAATGCAGTCCCATGTGAGCAAATAACCTTTCTTTTCGGTGTTTTTATTTTTTCTTTAGGACGGGATGAGACTATTAACCGGGCAGAGGAAAGAAGTTCGGAGGTATCTAATTCCAGGTTAAATGGTAAAACCTTGTTCAACTAATTGTTCAAAAAAAAAAAAACCTTGCTCTACTTTAGTTCAATTAAGGATAGTGATCATGTCAGTTGGAGTATGGGGTCGGTCCCAAACCAAAAGGGTCTGCATGGTCCAATTTAGAGCGGCCACACCCCTACAGGTCATGCTACCTATAGGTTGTCACCTAAAATAAATACTAGGTTTTGCTCCCAACGATAAGATCTTGATTGGATAGTTAAAAAGATATATGTTAATATTTGATTTTCAATATTTATTTTTACATATCAGATTAAGAAAAAAAAAAAAGTAGTATTTTTAAAATTTTATAGTGACCAAATTACCCCTACCATATTCTAGGGGTAGTTTGATCATTTTGAGTTTTAGAAAATATATTGTGCACCTTATTTCTAGTAAGCACTCTCAAATTTTCATCATGATCTGTTGTGTAGAAAAATATTATAATTCAAGTAGTAACATGTATTTTTTATCATTCGATCAAGATTTGACAACTGAAGCATAATCTAGATTACTATTCATTTTAGTTGACAACCTATTAGTAGTTTTTTACTCGCACAGACACACATATATGCATAGGTTGAAAATGCATGCTACATTTGAGACTTACAATCCCACACAGGTATTACAAGACGCACTACATTTAAGGATTAAAAACTTTTATTACAAGATGCAGTACATATAAAGCTTAAAAACTTGTATTACAATATGTAATACACTTGAGACTTACAATCCTTTCTTTTATTTTCTTTCTCTTTTTCTTTTTATATTCATAATTCTGAGGTCGATATGACCAATTTTGTAGTTCTCCAGTGCCACAACAATCTCTTCTAGTTGGTTTTAGAAGTTCAACCGTACTTGCTACAAGGCATTACACTTAAAAACCTTTTCCCTTTTCTTGAAGTCAATTATTTTCCATTATTGAGGTCCAACCCTACTGGTTACAAGGAATTATCCTTGTAACTAGGAATTATCCTTGTAACTTTTTCCTTTTCTTGAAGGCAATCTATTTTTTATTATTAACATAAAAGCTTTAATGTGACCACAATGCCTAGGACAAAAGCGGGCTGCCGCTCTATCGTTCTTTGAACCGAAGGGATTTAGGACGGGAAATTTTTTTAAAGAAGGTGCCAACTTTTCAGTGTACAAGTAAGTGCACTAAAAAAACCGACGGGCGACAGTGTACAAGTAAGTGCACTAAAAAAACCGACGGGAGAAGGTTGTTCTTATGCTGAAAAATTCTCAAATCGGTCATCTCAACCTTAAGATTATAGACATAAAAAACATGCGATTTCTAATACTAAAAATAGTTCATCTTCTAATACATTATCTGGACCAAGTTCAAGATTTTTTAGTGTTTATAGATATAGTTGATCGTCACCACATCTCTAGAACTTTAAATTTTCATAATTAAGGGAAGCAACAGATTTTAATATTATTGCAAAGCTTTCCAGCACATTTTCGGCATAGTTTTGAAGTGCAGCTTACTTCAATAGTATAAGGTTGACATCCCCGACAGACACAAGCGGGCCGCCGCTATATTGGCCTTTAAACCAAAGGAAAAAAATTATAAGGTTGCAATCTTATACTGTAGATGTAAGGTGCACCCCTGAAATCCAGTTAAAAAGAGTACGAAGCCTTTAAATTGAGACCTCATGGATATAAAGAACAAAAAAAATTTGAAGTCTTAAAAATGCTGCATCCTATAATAAATTATTTGGATAGTCTATTTTCAAAATTTTCAAAAATTTATAGATCTAATAAATTTGTATTATTTTTTAAATTAAAATTTTATAATTAGAGTTGAACATAGATTTTCTAGCAATAAAAAATTTTCAAAATTTTCAAAAATCTCCATATCTGCTACATTTGCATTGTTTTTAGAATTTGAAATTTCATAATTATAATTGTACATGAATTTTCAAGCCATCAAAAGATTTTCAATTTCATAATTATAATTGCACATAATTTGTTTGGTTTTTGCCAACCAATCTATCTATTAATATGAATCCAAGAGCTTCAGGGAGCATATAATTCCCAGTTGCTTTTTTTTCTTTAGAAGTGATGATTTCAGATGCTACCTTTGCACTTCCATGATGCATTCAATCTGCGTCCTAATCCTAAAGGGCTTCTGTAACTAATATCATACAAAAACCCAAGCTCCAAAAAGACGGAAAACAATTAAAAAACCTACATAATTAAAACCCAAAAGAAATTAAAAAGAAGTAGGGCCAAGCCCAAATAAAGCATTGGAAATAAACACAGGCTTAGCTTAAACATTGGGCATCATATTTAAGATAAATACCTAACCAAAACAAGAAGTTTAATGCAACATTCAATGGAACAGTCGAATCTTAAGGAAAACTTCAGAGCCCACACCGTTTGGAGCGATGCAACGCATTCTAATAATCTCTCTCTCCCTCTTTCTCCCTCTCTCTCTCTCTCTCTCAAGCCACACCTTTCTTCTCAACAAGCTTATCTATCAAATCCGCCGCTTCTTGGACAGTGGTTATGTTATGAGAACTGTCTTCCTCAACAGTGATACCAAACTCCTCCTCCAATCCCATCACAATCTCCACCTGTATCAACAAACCATGTGATCATCAATACCATCTTTCTTCGTCTTGTGTGCGAGTGCCTCGTACAAAAGAGTGAACAGAGAGAGAGTGAGAGGTGCTCTGTTTTTGTGTGAAAGACAGCATGTGTGTTTTGAAAGGCAAAGAGGGGAAATCTCCATTTGAGAGAGTGTATTGGGGGGGGGGGGGAACAGAAACAGTGTGTGTGCAGGTTAGTAGGGCGTCTTGCAGGTTAGCAGGGTGTCTTAGCCAGGAGTTATGTGAATGACTCAACATAACATCACACCCTTAACATAAAAAAAAAATAAGCATGTAGAGAGAGAGAGGGGTGTTTTATAGAGAAGCTATATAAGAGAGAGAATATAACATTTTACCGTGTCAAGAGAGTCAGCACCAAGTGCCGAGAACTTTGACTCAGGAGTAACCAGAGTGTCAGGACCCAACGCTAGTTGGCTCTTTACAATCTCACAAACCTTATTCACAGTCTCGGGCTTTGCCTGCTCATCCAATCCAGTCACCAAATAAATCAGTTAGCATTCTTTTTGTTACAAATGAAAACAACTAACGATAATAATAATGATAACAATAATGATAATAACATCCTGAGGGACTCATTCCAAGTATTAGTGAGAAAGACATGGGTCTCTATACCGCACACTGGATGCAAAACCGGGAGGTTCGGAGCACTGGAAATCCAGCACGACCACTGTTGATGGCGACAAACTTTGAACCACTTGCCTGCAAAAATATTTCATTACAAGCAATACAGAGAGAGAGAGAGAGAGAGAGAGAGAGAGAGAGAGAGAAGAGAGAGAGAGAGAGAGAGAG